ACTAAATTACAGCTAATTCGGTGGAAAAATACGACCAAAACCCCCAAAATACTGAAAATTAGGAGGTACCGTTATATGGGGACTACCAGAAAAAGTGAACCTATATCCATAATTTTTTGTGGAGAAATTTATTACCCAATAGGAACCCAATATAGCAAATTTCAGCGAATTCCGTTGAAAAACGCGGTCAAGAACCCCAAAATACCGAAAATTGAGGGGTACCGTTATATGGGGGGTACCAGAAAAAATTGACCTATATTTATAATTTTTAGTAGGTTTATTTGGTACCCATAGGGTCGGAAATGAGTATTTCGATGCGTTACAAACGGAAAAACAAAACTAATATACCCTCCATACTATGGTGGAGGGTATAAAAATCCGTTCGATAACAAATTTTTCTTAAGGCAATTAGCTCGGTAATAACATTTTCCAATAGAAAATTTGTTCGATAACAACTAATTTTCTATTGGAAAAAATAATTTTTAAATATAACACGTTGTCAATAACAAGGTTTTCTACAGATAACTTTATCGACAACAAGTTTTTATATGGAAACGTTTATCGATAAGAAGTTTGTTTGCAGAACTTTTTTTTATACCCTCCACCACTAAATTACAGCTAATTCGGTGGAAAAATACGATCAAAACCCCCAAAATACTGAAAATTAGGAGGTACCGTTATATGGGGACTACCAGAAAAAGTGAACCTATATCCATAATTTTTTGTGGAGAAATTTATTACCCAATAGGAACCCAATATAGCAAATTTCAGCGAATTCCGTTGAAAAACGCGGTCAAGAACCCCAAAATACCGAAAATTGAGGGGTACCGTTATATGGGGGGTACCAGAAAAAATTGACCTATATTTATAATTTTTAGTAGGTTTATTTGGTACCCATAGGGTCGGAAATGAGTATTTCGATGCGTTACAAACGGAAAAACAAAACTAATATACCCTCCATACTATGGTGGAGGGTATAAAAATCCGTTCGATAACAAATTTTTCTTAAGGCAATTAGCTCGGTAATAACATTTTCCAATAGAAAATTTGTTCGATAACAACTAATTTTCTATTGGAAAAAATAATTTTTAAATATAACACGTTGTCAATAACAAGGTTTTCTACAGATAACTTTATCGACAACAAGTTTTTATATGGAAACGTTTATCGATAAGAAGTTTGTTTGCAGAACTTTTTTTTATACCCTCCACCATAGTATGGAGGGTATATTAGTTTTGTTTTTCCGTTTGTAACGCATCGAAATACTCATTTCCGACCCTATAAAGTATATATATTCTTGATCAGCGTAAAATTCTAAGACTATTTATGCATGTCCGTCTGTCTGTTGTAATCACTCTAGCGTCTAAACGAATTGAGATAGAGCGCCAAAATTTTGCATAGAGTCGTCTTTTGTCTGCAGGCAGGTCAAGTTCGAAGATGGGCTATATCGGTCCACGTTTAGGCATAGCTCCCATATAAGGATACCCCCCAATTTTCGGTATTTTGAGGTTCTTGAGCGTGTTTTTCAACCGAATTCGCTGAAATTTGGTACTTTGAGTTCTTATTGGGTAGCAAATATCCCCACTAAAAATTATAAATATAGGTCCATTTTTTCGGACAGCCCCCATGTAAGGGTAACCCCAAAATTTCGGTATTTTGAGGTTCTTTAGCGTGTTTCTTGAGCGTGGTACTTTGAGTTCTTATTGGGTACCAAATAAACCTACTAAAAATTATAAATATAGGTCAATTTTTTCTGGTACCCCCCATATAACGGTACCCCTCAATTTTCGGTATTTTGGGGTTCTTGACCGCGTTTTTCAACGGAATTCGCTGAAATTTGCTATATTGGGTTCCTATTGGGTAATAAATTTCTCCACAAAAAATTATGGATATAGGTTCACTTTTTCTGGTAGTCCCCATATAACGGTACCTCCTAATTTTCAGTATTTTGGGGGTTTTGATCGTATTTTTCCACCGAATTAGCTGTAATTTAGTATTTTGAGTTCTTAATAGGTACCAAATCTCCCCACAAAAAATTATGAATATAGATCCATTTTTACGGATAGCCCCCATATAAGGATACCCCCAATTTTCGGTATTTTGGGGTTCTTGAACGCGTTTATCAACCGAATTTGCTGCAATTTGGTATTTTGTAGTCGTATATGGTAACAAATCTCCCTACCAAAAATTATTAATATTCGCCCCCTTTTTGGGGTAGTCCCCATATAACCCCCTTTTTTATATTAAAATAGTTATCTGATTTGTTACGCGTTTGAATTTTGGTTCTAAGGCTCTGTTGTAATCATTTCACCTGCGGAGGATAGCGAGATAAAAAATTAGAACGTAAGGTTCGATAATGAACTATAGCCGCATTTAGACCTAGCCCCTGTGTGGAGGTACCAGAAGAAGTGGACCGATATTCCCCATCTTCGAATTTGAACTAAGTTTGGAAAAATAATAAGATGTGCGAGGTTTGAATGAAAACCAACTTTACTGAAACGGATTTGGTCCAAAGAAACATGGGGTCTAGAACCAATATTTCGATGAGGCACATTTTCATTGTGTTAAAGTGTATACACCGTCATTAGCTGTAAGGCTGGAGGTATAATTATCCATTAAAATTTTCTGAAATTCGTATTGTTGTTTACATTATGGTTTACATAATCCGTTTTTAGAAATGTCGGTATAGGTCCACTTTTTGACATGTTCCCTATATTTTCATTTCTAGTACCTGCCCGTATATCTATGGTGGAGGGTATCCAAAGTTCGGCCCGGCCGAACTTAACGCTTTTTCACTTGTTATAACTGGGTTTTCAGTAGCAAAGCTTTTCAATAATAAGATTATTTAATGGAAATATTTCCGATAACAAGATTTTCTAATGAAAATATTTTCGATAAATTGGGTTTTGATAACAAATCCGTTTTGATAATAATACCAATACCGATAGAAAATTAGTTGGATAACAAGGATATTTAATAGAAAATATGTTCGATAACAAGGGGTTCCCCTGAGAGCATTTTCGATAACAAGTTTTTTTTTTTTAAAAGGTGGTCGACAAATGTGTTTTTTATACAAAATGTTTCTATATTAAATATTATCCATACTAATTGATGGATAACAAATTAGTTTAAGAGGACCCCCCCATTCTCGGGGTCAACATTTTTGTTGATATAATTCGAATCTACACTAATTAAAGAATGTCCCTACAAAATTTCAAGTGCAAATCTCAAGAACTCTTGAAGATATATCCGATTTATTGTGTCAGCACCAAGTGACGGCTAAAGGGCTTCTCAAACTTTAAACGAGTTTTTCTCTAAACATTTTTTTGCGAATGGCGGGCACGATAACTCAAAAACTTATAATCCAATCGGTTCCAAATTTTGCAACGTTTCTCTGGGAGTGTATATCTATCGTATGAACTAGGATAAAGCCAATCGGTGAAGATCTTCCTTATTTTTTAACTTGGTTTTTGGTAAAAAATCGACGATTTTCCAAAAATATTTTATCAAAGGTCCACCATTTTGTTAATTTTAGAGCGAAGTCAATAATCCTAGTTCATACGAGAGCCAGACATGTACTCTTTCTAACGCCGTTGGAATTTTCGGATTCCGATGTTCCAGTGAGGAGTTATCATGCCCGCCATCAAAAATAAGGACTTGTCTTTAATTACAAAAACAACAACAAAACAATAACAAAAAAAAAATGTACATTATTTTTCTTCTCTTTTAAATCTTCAATTATGTATGTGCAAAGTTACAAACCTTAACAAGCATTGGTATTGATTTACCAGCCCATTGAAAATCTTCAAAAATTAAAATCGAGAATGGGTGGGGTTCCCTTAATAACAGCAACTTGTATAGAAAATTTATTCGATAACAAGGTTTTCCATAGATAACTTTTTCGATTTTATCGATGACAAAATAGTTCAATAACAATAATTTCTATAGAAAATCTATTCTACAGCAAGGTTTTCTATAGCCAACAATGTGTGTCATCGAAAATATGAGAGGCAACTTCTTCGATAATAATATTAGAACTAGAAAGCTTATTCGATAACAATAAACATTTTTTTAGAAAAACTGGCGATAACAAGTTTTTTTCGGTACCAAATATATTCATTAACATTTCTTATGGACAAATTTTTTGATTACAACTGAACAATATATCGATAATAATTTTTTACATATAAGAAATATTCGAATAGCTCTATAAAAATAAATATTTTCCACAGAAGCATTTTTTAACGTTCGATAAATAAGATATTTAAGTAAATTGTGTTCGATATCCAGTTTTTCTGAAAGAAACTGTTCGATAGCAATGTCTTCCAAGGAAAACAAGTTCGATAACTATGTTTTCTAACGAAAACTTCTTCGATAGCAATGTTTCTTACCGATAGATTTTTAGATAGTAATGTTTTATGTACCGATAACAACTATAAATTTTTATATATGATTTTTGGATAAAAAGATATTTTATGGTTAATTTTTCGATAAAATATTTGATCGATTTTCAATCGATAAAAAGATACACTAGAAAACCTTTTCGATAACAAAGTGTTCTATAGAAAAATATTACGACAACAAAGATTTTTACGGAAACATTTTTCGATAACAAGTTTTTATAAAGAACTCTTTTACGATAACAACATAAATATTGACCGATAAAAAGGTTTTCTGTAGAAAAATATTTCGATAACAAGAAATTCTATTGAATGCATCCGTGATATAAATATTTTTCGATAACTATATTGGTCGATAACAATGGTTTCTATAGAAAACTTTTTCTATAAAAAAACTTGTTCGATAACATAATACTTCGATATGTTTATCTACAAATGTCTTGTTCGTTTTCTATATAGACACATATCGATTGCAGAGTTTTTATTACAAAACTTTATCGATAACCAGATTTTCCATAGAATTTTCGGTTCAAAAATGTTGCCGATAACAGTTTTTCCTTCCCGAAAATCATTAATCCTCTTTATTTCCCCTCTTTCCAGATGCCAAACGTCTGATTGGACGCAAATTCGATGACATCACCGTGCAGAGTGACATGAAGCACTGGCCCTTCGAAGTGGTCAGCGATGGTGGAAAGCCAAAAATCCGTGTCGAGTACAAGGGAGAAAAGAAATGTTTCTTCCCCGAAGAGGTGTCCTCTATGGTCTTGACAAAAATGAAAGAAACTGCCGAGGCGTATATGGGTCGTACTGTAAGCGATGCGGTCATCACTGTACCGGCGTATTTTAACGATTCGCAGAGGCAGGCCACCAAAGATGCTGGGGCAATTGCTGGCTTGAATGTACTGCGTATTATTAATGAACCCACAGCCGCTGCCATTGCCTATGGTTTGGATAAGAAGGGTACCTCGGAAAGAAATGTTTTGATTTTCGATCTGGGTGGTGGTACCTTCGATGTTTCCATTCTCACCATTGAAGATGGTATTTTTGAGGTTAAGTCCACGGCCGGAGATACCCATTTAGGTGGTGAAGATTTCGATAATCGTATGGTTAACCACTTCGTTCAGGAATTTCAGAGGAAACATAAGAAAGACCTGTCGACGAATAAGAGGGCTTTGAGGCGTTTGCGTACAGCCTGTGAGCGGGCCAAACGTACCTTGTCTGCTTCGACTCAGGCCAGCATTGAAATTGATTCCCTTATGGATGGTATTGATTTTTACACGTCCATTACCAGAGCCCGCTTCGAGGAGTTGAATGGTGATTTATTCCGTGGTACTATGGAGCCGGTGGCCAAGGCCTTGCGTGATGCAAAAATGGATAAGGGTCAGATACATGATATTGTTTTGGTTGGTGGTTCCACTAGGATTCCGAAGGTGCAAAAGCTTTTGCAGGACTTTTTCAATGGCAAAGATTTGAATAAGTCCATTAACCCGGATGAGGCTGTGGCCTATGGTGCTGCGGTGCAAGCTGCTATTCTGCATGGTGATAAATCGGAGGCTGTGCAGGATTTATTGTTGTTGGATGTAACCCCCTTGTCATTGGGTATTGAGACTGCAGGAGGGGTTATGACTGTCCTGATTAAACGTAACACCACCATACCCACCAAGCAGACTCAGGTTTTTACCACCTATTCGGATAATCAGCCGGGTGTGTTGATTCAGGTCTTCGAAGGTGAACGGGCAATGACCAAGGATAACAATATCTTGGGTAAATTTGAGTTAAGTGGCATACCCCCTGCGCCCCGTGGTGTACCACAAATTGAGGTCACTTTCGATATCGATGCCAATGGTATTCTGAATGTCACCGCCATAGAGAAGTCCACAAATAAAGAAAATAAAATCACCATTACCAATGATAAGGGCCGCTTGAGTAAGGAGGATATTGAACGCATGGTAAATGATGCCGAGGCATATCGCCATGAAGATGAGAAACAAAGGGAGAGAGTGAATGCGAAGAATGCTCTCGAATCATATTGTTTCCAAATGAAAGCCACATTGGACGATGACAATATCCGTTCTAAGGTTTCAGATTCCGATCGCCAAATGATAATGCAAAAATGTAATGAAACCATTTCCTGGTTGGATGGAAATCAAACGGCCGAGAAGGATGAATATGAGTATAAGCAGAAGGAGCTGGAGAAGATTTGTAATCCGATTATTACGCGCCTCTATCAGGGTGGTGCTGCACCACCACCAAATGCTGGTGGTATGCCAGGAGGAGCAGGTGGTCCGGCGCCAGGTGGTTCGACTGGACCAACTATTGAGGAGGTTGATTAAAATGCGAAGAGGCTGTTCTCTTGATGGCGTTGTAGATCTTGGCGGAACTAATGTCGTTTGTGGAGATTTTTATTTGGGTTTAATAAAAATTTTTGTTTGTTGAATTGCAAGTAAAAAAATTTAAGTTTTTTTATTTTTAAATTCGAACATATCGAAATTTTTCATAAAGAATGGTGGACTTTAATTCGATCGGGAATTTTTTGCTGGGGGCTATGACATAACAGTTGGCTCGCTTTTATATATCTTTTGAGCTGGATCATCCTCATCCATTTGCACAACATGACCTAGCCACCGTAGTCGCTTCAGCTCGATACGCCTGACTATGTCGATATCTGAGAATAGATGGTACAACTCATGGTTCATTGGACGGCGATATTTATTGTCGACGTAGATCCGCAAATAGATATTTCGGATAATTTTTCTCTCAGAGCTGCCTCCTCTGCTTGCGCAGGTACCCATGCTTCAGATCCATACAACAGCACGGGTTGTATCAGCGTGGGAGGTGGCCTTCTTTCTAAACTGCTAACTTAGACCATAGTAGCATATGTTGGCCAACACTATTCTCCTTTGAATTTCAAAACTGATGTCATTACCTTTTTTTAATATCTATGGCGGTACCAAGGTATATAAAATCTGTGACTACCTCGAAGTTGTCGTTCTCAAGTTCCACAGTTGGTCCGAATATACTGGAAGTTTTGCGCGTTGATACCATCAGCTTTGTCTTTTCGCCGTTTACTGCCAGTCTCCTTTGGCAGACTCGTTGTCAATTTGTTCAAAGGTGGCTGTTACCGCTCTCAATGTTCGACGCATTATGTCGATGTCATCGGCGTAGGCGAGTAACATGTGTTGTTTGGTGTACAGAGTGCCATTTCTGTTCACTTTTGCCAATCGTATGGCCTTTTCCAGCAGGATATTAAAAAGGTCACACGACAAACTGTTACTTTGTCTGAATCCTCGTTCGGTATTGAAGGGTTCTGAAAGGTTCTTTCCGACTTTAGTGGCTGACCTTGCGCCAGTTGAAGTTATTCTGCATAGCCGTAGTAATTTTTCAGTAATGCCAAAGGCAGACACGGCTTTCAACGCCTCTGAACGGTTTTGTAGTCGACGAATAGGTGGAATATTTCGATGTGTTTTTCGTGGCTCTTTTCCAAGATTTAGCGCAGAGTGAAAATCTGGTAAATGGTGGATTTGCAGGCCTGAAGCCGCATTGCTATGATCCAATAATGTCATTGACCATTGGCTTTAGTAGTTCATACAGTACGCTGGATAGCACTTTATATGCGATGGGATGGAAATTTATTCCTCTATAGTTAGGCACATATCGTCTTGTCGTCTTTTTTGTGAACGGGACATTGGATGTTGAGGTTCCAATCATTGGGCATGCTTTCCTCTATCCAAATTGTATAAATCAGTTGGCGTATGCTCCTTATCAGCATCTTACCACCGGTCTTGAATAGTTCGGATGGTAATCCATCGAAAAATGCTGCTTTATTATATACTGGTCCTTTAAAAATGCGACGTCTGTTAGGATTGATCTGTTGAACGTGCTGAAGGGTATCATATAGTCGGCTCCGCCCGACTTTACTACTTTCCTTACTGGTTCATAGTAGGATGGTTTTTCCGAGTGTAGGCAACTAACCCGACACCTCAACCCATTTTTGTATAGTTCTTATGGGTGAACTCGCGGCACATATCCGTCGGAAAGTCAGTGTCCACAATTGAGACGACAGATTACCATGAAGGACCTGGTCTATGACGAGTTAACGCCAATTAGAGCCGTTACTTGGTATCTATCAACCCCTACGTCACCCATAACCGGATGGAATATTTATAGTTATCTTTAAGCAGAATAAAGAACCCGGAGTGGAGTATTTAACATCGGTTTTTAAATTGTAGTTAGATACGCATAGTATCCGCTGACCGATTTGAATTATGTTGCCAGTATCAAATACACTTCATGAACTCTCCTCCCATTTATGCAGATTTCTACCATCAAAATGATTTCCGTAAAATGCATAGCACCCCAACAGCATTACACGTCCTTTTCACATTTATAAGTACGCCAGTTATATGAGGAATTCTGAGACAGAAAGTCAAAGACTCGTATAGTGCAAAAGGAGCTCCATTGTGATCTGCTCTAATGATATCCCAATTGGATGTGAGTGCTATAATCTTGGTGAGTTTGATATTAATCTTTCCTTTTAGGGCAGCACTGAGGTAGTTCTACGTCGTGAATCTATGGGTAGATGGATTTTGAAGTTCTGTACCCAGGCTACTCATCCGAAGACCACACTTTCTTTACAGTCTATTTGGGTGGTTGTCAGGGCTTGTCCTACTGCTGACGTACTGTCATAATTCTGGTTCTGGGCTTTTATAGCTTATCATATATACCTCAGGATATTTGTTGTTGTTAGTCAAGAGTTTGAATTTATGCAGTAATACCGTTATGTTGTAGCTAGAAAATCCGCATGAAGTATTGAATTGTGATGTTGCAGGCCAGTTGAAATATTAGTTGCCGTTTTTTCAATGAAGAGTCACAGTCTCGTGTTTCCTGCTAGTCTGGGTATTCATCAGTGCAACAACAGTTACCAGAAAGTATTCTGCTAGTGTTCCGCTAGTCCATGAGTCACTATCAGAATTTCACTCTTTTGCTTCCTCACCAGTCAATGATGACCTTCTTGGGAGTTGGACATGTCCTTTTCGCTGCCTCTAATCCTTGGGTGTATTTTTTTGTTTTAGGGGAATTTTGATTCGTTTCCCAAGTGTGGGTGATCGAACTATGCCACTATCTCCTAGTTGTAATTGGTTGTAAACTAAAATTCATGCAATTTTAATTTTTTATTTCTTAAAACTTTGAAAATTTAAAAAAAACACATCGTTTTTCTGTATATTTTATTTAAACTATTTCAACATTTTCTTTTATTATTTCAAATATTATTTTTTATTTTATTTTCCGATTTTTTCATTTTTATATTTCTTCAGTTACATTTATTTATATTTATCAATTTGTGTATTAATTTCTGGTATTTAAATTAATTTATTATAATTATTATTGTTGTTCTTGTTAATATTTTCATCTATTATTAATTACAAAAAACAAAAAAAAGAAAACACAATAAATATTAATAATTCTCAATATAAACTATTTGTACCTAGAAACATTTAAAGGAGGGACCAAAAAATGATACAAAGTAACAAAATATAGTTTTTGTTTTTGGTTTTTACGATATGTATTCTTACTAAAAATACAACATTTTATATAGCTCCATTTATATATAGTATATAGTTTGGGGGAATCAGCTGATTCATTTAGTTTGAAAGTAATTTGTTGTTTTCTAAATTAATTTACTGTTTTTTCTCTAGTTTTAGAAATTCTAATATAAATTTAAATATAAACGAGTTTAGTTTATTTAGTTTTTTTAATTAACATATACGAATATAAGAGGAAAACTCATTTATGTAAGTATAAACAATGTATTAATATGTGTAATAATTGTTAGTAATATAAATTCTAATTAGAAAATAACATAAATAAAAAAATTATATATTAAGTCAAGGTAAATATTTTTTAATTCACTTGAATAATTGATGTTTAATTGTACGACAATTCGAAACATGCGAAACACCAGTTTTTTTGGAAAGAAAGAGTGGTGCGTCAAAATGCAGCTCTGAAAAGCAAATGACTACCAGCTGACCGTACGTTCACACTGTCAATATTTCTTGATTTTACTATTTAAAAAGTATATTAATTACATTAAAGAGTAGATTTGAATCGGTTCGATTTGTTTCGATTCACTCCGTAGAAGGAACTAAGACATTAATTTCGTTCCATAGTTCCTATTAGTTCGATTATTCATTGGTTCCATGCCAGTTCATTCGGATAATTAACGAAAACATTTAAATGAACGATTAGATCAAAAAGAACTATATGAACGAATGTGACGTTGCTAGTACCGATCGTTCCAATTGAGAATTGTTCCTTTGAATTAGTGCTTTCCGAATCGGCACAACTCTGTTAAATACAATTGTCACCGTTTTTCACGGAGAATAAGAATCCAGTCAACCATCGCGTCGAAGGACCAAATGTTAATAAGAAACATAAATAAGGTTATTTTCAGTAGGCGTCTGTAAGACTCTAATGAAAATTTTCGCATTACAAAATCTACCGAATTCAGAAAAAATACCTCATAGTAAATGTTATGTAATGCCGAACTCGCTCTCGAACTCTGGTAGCATTTCCTAAGAGATAGGGCTGCCATCTATCGCAGCCTAGAAACAACGTCAACTAGAATTTTTGCACTTGTTGCTGTCCTTGCTAATTGAGTGTTACCCTTTCTCTCTTGACGCGGTATTTTTGGCATTCGAGGGAAATTTATTCGCCTCTTTTGACAAATATTCGAATAGCACCATGACAGAATTTGTCTCCTCCGCTGCGATTCGAATCCGGGAACCATCGGATACAACTCACGTCATAATACGGGAGTAAAATTTGTGGTAATTAAACCGTGTGCTGATATAAACTGTAACAAAGCGCTTCTAGTCAGGCTAGCTACTGTAAATCTTCTGTTGCTATTGATGTTCTCCAAGGATTGATTTTCAGCCACATCAGTGTGATTACAATTCAAAACTGCTTGATATACTTTGTTTGGAGGGTAGTAGCTTGTACATCCTCAAACATCTTGCCGTGATTGCCAATTTCAAGTGTTTTTGATAAATCATGATCAGACACTGGGTAGTTTGGGAACAATTAGGAATTTAAATCAGAAATTTAAATAAAAATTAGAACTTTGGTCAGATTATTTACTCCCAGCTTTTTCAATATTACGATTTCGTTAGAACGAAGCGCTTTGTATCATTTTGTGCTTCTGGTGACACCTCGAACGGAACGACACAATATTCTGTTGAGTGTATGTGCAATATGCTGAGGTGCAATTCTTGTCCCTATCGCTCTCGGGAAACTATAAATATTACCGATTAAAATAGTGCGAATAGTACATTTT